TCTCTCTCTCTCTCTCTCTCTCTCTCTCTCTCTCTCTCTCTCTCTCTCTGTCCATTATAAAATAAAGATAAATTTTTTCGGTAATGTTTCAGAATAGTCCAAATGATTTACAAATGATGTCGGATGCACCAGCACATCATCTGTTCTGCCTTTTAGGTCCAATAGATTTAAATAAAAAAATATTACCCGAGATATTAGTAGTTATTCAAGTAAATATACATGATATGTAACCATATCATAAATGTATACATGTGAATTTAAATATCTTCAATATTTTTTGTAGTACTAAATTAAAACTACTAAATTAAATTATTATGTGTAGATTTGTTTAGAAGGTGAAATAAATAAAAATACCATAAATGATGGATTAGTTCGAGGACGTCGAGCAGCTGGTGATCTTATACCATGGACTATTGCACAACAGTACCAAGACCAAGATTTTCCAGCATTAGCTGGAGCACGTATTGTTCGCATTGCAACACATCCTGAATATCAAAGTGTAAGTTTAAATATTATTATATAAATTAATAAAATAAAAATAATTTTTATTTAATTAAATATTTATATTATAGATGGGATATGGTAGTCGAGCATTAGAATTATTGAAAAAATATTATGAAATGAAAATAGTTAATATTAACGAAACATCATTACAAACATGTATAACAGAAATATCAAAAGTTAAAAATGAAGAAGTAAATTTGTTAGAAGAAAAAATTGGTAATTAAATTTATTGTATTATAAATACTTATATCAGATATCATATAATTTTAATTTATTAATTTTTTAATTTCAAATTGATTATTTTTTAGAACCTCGAGTTTTATTACCACCTCTTCTTTTAAAACTTAGCGAAAGACGCCCAGAAAATTTAGATTATATTGGTGTATCTTTTGGTGTTACCGAACCACTTTTAAAATTTTATAAACGAGCTAATTTTATACCAGTATATTTAAGGTTAAAATAATTATTTATTATTATTATTGTTATCGTATTATACATTAAATAAAAGTAAATATTTATTTTTCCAGACAAACAACAAATGATATTACAGGTGAAAATTCATGTATCATGTTGTATAAGATCAATTCTGATCAAGATATTAAATGGTTGCAAGCATATTGGAATGATTTTCGTAAACGATTTATAAGTCTATTGTCTTTTTCATTTAACACATATTCACCTTCATTAGCTTTAAGTATATTGTTTAATAAATCGATTACATCAGAAGCTACAAGTTAATATATTTTCAATAATATATGAATATATATTTTAATGTTCATATTTTTATGTTTATTATGCAATCATTTTTTTTAGCATTGACGAAAAATATATTGGATATCTATTTTACATCATATGATTTAAAACGTTTATCTATGTATAGTAATAATATGGCAGATTACCATTTAATAATGGATTTATTGCCGTCATTGGCACGTTTATATTTTTTAAATATGATGAATGATATCCATTTATCAGCAGTACAATCGGTAATTTTCATATTTATTTTAATTTAAAAATCTAAATATAATATTTTGTATTTATATAAATACTTTTATTTTCATTTTAGGCAATTTTATTGGGATTAGGTTTACAACACAAAACAGTTGATACATTAGCAAAAGAATTAGATTTACCAACAACCCAATTACTTGGTTTATTTAATCGTATTATACGCAAATTTATACAGTATCTTAATAAAATAACGGAGAATTTTATTGAAACTACAATAATGAAAATAGAAAAAAATAATGAAACAGTACAACTTAATCCCATCAATGGAGAAAGTTTATATGATGAATTAGAAAATGCAGCTAAGGTTTGTCCATTATTTTGTTGTAAAATATATTATAATTTATCAAATTTATAATATTGTATTATTCTATATAGATGATAATAAATAGAATTATTTATTATTTGATATAAATAATATTTTTTAAATATTTTTCAGGAATTAAAAACAAAACAAAAAGCTGAATTGGAAAAATTAAAAAAAGAAAATTTAGAACAATATGCAATCAAAGGAACAGAAGCTGATTGGAATGTTGCTCTATCTGAAAAGAAAAGTAAAAATCTTATATCTATAAAAAGTGGAGAAAAAAGAGAATTAGAACATAATAATACTTTAGAAGAAAATAAAAAATTTAAAAAAAAGAAAAAACATTTTTCCAAGATTTAATAAAAATAATGTATAAAAATTAATAATTTAAAAATAAAATAAACAATTATATAATAAAGTATTTATTTATCTTCACCAATTCAATTATCACTGTTT